TGACATATAAAGACGTACTTAAGTGGGTCAAAAAAGCACTGTAAAGTTCAGGATTTAATATAAATTTAAAAAAGGTAAAGGATTGACTCACTGATGCAATTAAACAGTTCAAGCATGAGGCTCAATTCAGGGCACAGTTGAGAGTAAATGGAGGTCAAACTAAATCTAAAAGCTAACTCTAAAAGTCATTTAAGTATATTTGTCAACAGTCCCATTAAGTTAGAGCCCATAATTATTAAAACAATTATTTAAAATGCACTTTAAAGTAAAACTCATGATTTGACATTATTACAAAGTGCACTTTTTAAAAGTGTCATGAAACAGTTCTCTCTTAAAGTGCACTTAAGTGACCTTTAGTTTCATTAACTTTATATTATCTGCATGTAAAAATACTTTTAAGATTTGAGGTACAGGTGCACTTCTTTTTATAAGAACATGCTGTGAGATCTAGCTGCGTCTGTTCTGTTTAGGAATAAATCGTCTTTTGCTTCCTGTAAGTCATATTTTATGCACAGAGGTCAGATTCAATATAACGGTTGACCTAGTTATTAGAGTGTAAGACATTTCAGTCAAGAACTTCTGCTTTCAGTTCTCAGGGTGCTTTTTTGTCCACATATGATATATCTTCTGTCAGATTGCTGATCCCATAGCCGCACATAAATCTACATTTACTGTAGGAAGTTTCTGGACAGATATTGACGTGTGTAATATGTTTCATGATAACTATGATCATAGTAGCTATTAAAAAAATAAAGCATTTCCTTTCTCTCTTTCAACAAGACTAATAAAAAAATGACTGAACTGAAAATTTACGAAGTAGTCTTATATGAGGCAATTCTTGATTATTTTTTCTAGCAAAACACGGCCTAGTTCTGTTTTACGCAAGCATCTGCAATACGTATGCAGCACTTGTTTATTTCTGCATCCTTATGAACAGATTACAGCATTCACTGCTGTGTAGAAGAAGTAAAGTTTTACACATTACATGCAGAACTCAGAAAAGAAAGTCAAAATACATTCTAAACTAAGTAACAATGTAAATTGCACAAGATTTATGAGGTGACATAAAACAATTTAGCAAAATACTCGCATAGTGTTTGAAATACACCTGTCCACAGGCAGACAAACAGTTGTTTCTATTCAGTAAATCTGACTGAATCCAAATAATATAAGTAGTTTATTTTTGGTGTTGTAAAGTAATTTGGATATAAATGTGGTTCCCTTTCTCATATAAATTAGACCCCTTTCCCCCTCTCATGTTATCATTATGACCATTTCATATTATATAGGAAATAATCAATAACTCAGAATTTCACTTTTTTACTGTATATAACCGTATTTTGACTGCACACCAGACGGAATCAGCATGAAAGCACAATAGGAAGCTGCTGTTGTAGTTACACTGCTACTTTGCTTCCTGTAAAACAGGAATGGCCAGAGAGAGAGAGTGGAAAATGATCATGAATAATTAAACTATCATTGTTTTTGGCGCAAAACAACTTTGGCTAATGTTATAAGTGAACCAGAAACTGATTTCTTTGGCAACACACTGAATATTTTTCATTAACACTGATTAAAATACACTCTGTCAGCATTTACAATCAAAATCATTTGCAGCTGTTACTGTTTCTCAGTATGTTTGTGTTTGTTAAATGGTAGACTTAAGATTGGATTGGCTACACTGAGTGCATGTTTTAGCATATGTCTGAACTGTTGATCCTGACTCATCAAGTGATGCTCTTTGAGAAAATATGACATGCTTGCGCTGTCTCAGTATACTGTATGTTTCTATAAATGTCTTTCAGTATAGTTAAGTTCTCCAGTTGCCTGACCGAACTGGATCTTGGTGAGAATCACATTGGAGAAGATGGTGCAAAAGTGTTTTTAGAGGCCCTGAGAGAGAGACAAGCAAGTATGGATTTATAGAAATATGGAAATACAACTTAAATAAGGCTGCAGTGACCTCATGCAAAGATGTTACATTTTGGAGTTTATTCCACATGTGAAATGTGAAGTTACTCATATAATTGTGTCCCACTTTTGGTTTGGTAAAATGAGATTGTAAATCATTTCCCCATCTTTTTGACAGCTAAACTATCTCCAATAAAAATCCAGGTTTCAACACGCATGTCCGCAGAAACATTCAGTGCTATTTTGAAAAGTGCAAAGGAGCTTAAATCTGGGAAAAAGAGACGAAAGACTAAGGTGCAGTATAGGATTTTTTGATGTTACACACTTACAAATGTGTCATCTGTAAACCTTTCTCAGAACTAATTTCTCTTTTCTGAGTCATTTTTACAAAATGTTTCTATAGTCACGAGGCTTCAAATCATTTTGGGGACACTGTAGTTTCATGGAAGTATGAATTTCTGTCTGCCATAATGCTCATAACTCTCTTATTTGATCATTTCCAAAGGGAAAAAAGAAGTAGTCCGTCTGGAGGATATTGAAGGACATTGCTGACTGACACAAGAATGTTTTTCCAGACTATTTCTCCATGTTTTCAATTTGTCGCCACAGTTTTTTAGAATAATCTTTTTATGTGGTCCGAGTTGCATTTGACAACAGCCGTGCACCAAATGTGACCGCACAGCAGACTCCCAGATTATGAACCACTCATTTGTCCGTGGTGCTCTAGCAGGGGTTCGGGAACGGATCTTATTTTATGCTGCTCCATTGGGAGCTTGAAATAGCAGAAGGATGTTTGTTCTTAAGTGCTTCTTTCTTTTTCTTGTCCCTTCAAGTACATACTTGCTAACAGAATGTTATAACAGTTTAATACATGAAATGTTTATATTTTATAATAATGTGAACGACAGAGTTAGCATTTATTAGTGTGTGTACTACCTGTTATATGGAGAGCAGACTAGATATGTTTTCTGGTAAAAAAAAAAACCCATGCATTTTGGGGAAGTCGTGGCCTAATGGTTAGAGAGTCGGACTCATAACCCAAAGGTTGTGGGTTCGAGTCTCGTACCGGCAGGGATTGTAGGTGGGGGGAGTGAATGTACAGCGCTCTCTCCCACCTTCAATACCACGACTGAGGTGCCCTTGAGCAAGGCACCGAACCCCCAACTGCTCCCCGGGCGCCACAGCATAAATGGCTGCCCACTGCTCCGGGTGTGTGTTCACGGTGTGTGTGTGTTCACTGCTGTGTGTGTGCACTTTGGATGGGATAAATGCAGAGCACTAATTCCGAGTATGGGTCACCATACTTCGCCACATGTCACATCACACTTTAAATTTGGTTTTGTCTCCACCCTGTGGCCAAGAATGATATTGCACTGTGTCGCGTTCATTTCTATGGATTTACAATCCACACACACAGCCTGTTTTACGTTTTACTTCTGCCTCTGTTGTGGAACATCACAAAATAATGTGCATCCAAACATGAAATTTGACTGCTGAATTTCTCTTGTTGCATAATAAGGAATGCCTGATTGTATGGCTTCAAATGGTGCAAAATTAAATACCATAAACAATAAAATTAACAAGCAAAATGAATCAATAGCAAACATGATTTAATTAACCTGACAGGCAGATTTTTGTATCTGTTTGAAATACCAAAAACAAATAATTTAACAATATCTTTTCACCCAATATAGACCTGCAGTATACTTATATTCAACTTTTTTTATTGGATTACTTCTAAAAAAAACTTCTATAACATGACTTAGCCTAAATCTTCCCAACACAAATGAAATGTATTCGTTGTTCCTGATTTAACTGTATTGCATTTTTTTAAATTATATTTTATTGTTTAAATCTTTTCAATCTTACAGCAGACGAGGCTAATTAAGAATTGTCGATCTGAAAATGGTACACATTTCTTCAAACCCTAAATTGTGTTCACTACAATGGTTTTCCATAAAAAGAAGTAAGTATTCAATCCATGCATTTGAATTTGATTAGAATACCTGCCATAGGCAGCAATAAGGTCCTAATTTTTTATAAGGTCCATGGTTGTAATTATTTGTGTAAGGAATTCAAAAAACAAGTTACTGTTGTATTTAGAAAAAATATAAAAGTATATCTTGCAACTTCATCAGTCTAAGGGTATCCACCTTTTTCTTGCCGTAAAAATGGGCGCAGCCATTTGTAAATTATATGGGTCTAGCTTCCGGTCTCATCGGCATCCAGCTATATTTACAATATAATTGTAAATTAATTTGTACAAAACAGTTAATTTTGCTGCTTGATATCGAAAACTGGTGTGTCTTATCATACTATTTTAATGTATTATCTTAATTATGAACACACAGGTTTGTAGTGCAAACAGCTTTACCGTTTACTGCACTGTTATTCTCCTCGTTATTTCCCTATAGCGGCTAATGAACCGGAAGTCTCACCCATAGGCTTACTTCCGCGTTGAAGAAAAAGGTGGTATCCTTCGTAAACTTCATGTTGTTGGTACTGTATTCGGTTTTCATAAATGCCAGATAGTCCCAAAGAAAGAATGAGCTCTCTTTGACCCTCATGTTGTGTTCTGGTCATTTTGACCTGTCCTAACTGAAAGAAAACAAGTTGACAAAATTTTGTTTCGGTACAAGTTGACAAGATTAGGCTATATATGAAGATATATATAAGCTGTTTTTGGTAGGCCAGTCATTTTTGACTGGGAACATCACAAGAAGTGTGACTTTGTGCCATTTTGTACAAAATAAAAGTTGTACAAAAAAACTTTTCTGGTTAAACATTAAAGCGTGATAAACAGTACTATTTTTATCTTATTTAATATTGGCAGAATTATCCACAAATAATGTATTTATTATATTTATTTATTAAATAATAACTAAAAAATAAGGCGCATGAGCTCAGATCGATCAGTTCCAAAAGGAAATATGAAACCGGTCCTAACTGACCTTGAAAGAAAACAAGTTGACAGTTGATAATCAGAATAAATGAAACATTAAAACATTACACACGTCTCTTTCCGAGGAAAGATCATTGTTTGGTCCTCCGCCACGAGGAGGCGCTGTGATTGATCTGTGCAGCACTAAGCGGAGGTCACGCATGCGCACAAGCTTTTGTTTCTAGACATTTCGACGGAGTGCAAGAGAGCTATCATCTTTTATCCCTTTCCCTTATTGCTATCTCTAAAGCGCTTCATATAGAGAGAGCTACGGTGACTTTATAATGGATTTGGAAGGTGGCACGTATGAACCTGGATTTGTGGGCATCCGGTTCTGTCAGGAGTGGTGAGTTTAGATGAGTTTGGTGGATTGTGTCTCAAACTCGTGTCGCTAATCTGATGTGTGTGTGTGTTTGTTTGTTTTGATGGCAGTCAGTGTTGGGGAAAGTTACTTTTAAAAGTAATGCATTACAATATTGCGTTACTCCCTAAAAAAGTATCTTATTACGTTACTTGTTATGGAAAGTAATGCGTTACGTTACTTTTGCGTTCCTTTTTAAATCTGGCCAGGGCTTGCTTGTTTGTTGTTAATATAAAAAGCTCTTCTTTTACAACTGTAAAAGCCCTTTTCACAACAGAAGTTAAATTAATACGCCTCAGGCTGAAGGAAATGCAAATTCACGTCTGTACAGTAGAGGGCGCAGCTCAAACAAATTGCATGAAGAATATGACGCAGGAGAAGAAAGTTCAACATTATTCAGCAATAACAAAATTGAAACAAGTGTGTCATTTTTGCTTATTAGTATGGTTGAATTAGATCATCGAAGGTCTTATTTAATATTAATATTTATTTAATATTATTTAACATATTTAATTATTGCGGGTTTATATAATATTCTGAGTTTGCATTTGACTGTTTTTATTCATTTTGAGGAATACTGAATCTGTTTTTGTGCAGTGAGAAGAGTAAATAATGTTCATATTTAATCTAGAACTACAGTAACATCACAGCGCACACCACGCCTCTGCACTTACTCCCCATTTTTCTCAACATGGCAACACGAGAGCTGTCAGTCAAGGGAAACAAAGTAACTAGCGTTACTTATTTGAAAAAGTAACTCCGATATTTCCTTATAAATTAAAAAGTAATGCGTTATTTTACTAGTTACTTGAAAAAAGTAATCTGATTACGTAACTTGCGTTACTTGTAATGCGTTACCCCCAACACTGATGGCAGTAGTTGCTCTTGTATAAATCTCTCTCTTTTTACAGTAATAACATGTTGTATCCTAAAGAGGATAAAGAAAACCGCATCCTGCTCTATGCTGTAAGTTCTTTTTTGCCAAATCTGTGTGCATTAATTGTCCTTTCAGTCCACGCGAGAGTCCAATCAATGTTTTTTTGCGTGTTTGTGCATTGATTTATGATTACAGATGTGATCTAACATATGCATATGACTTGTTATGATTAGTCAAATATTTAGCGGACTTTAAAGAGGCTGATGTTTGTTAAAAGTGGTTTAACGGAGAAGTGATTCGTGTTATTGGACAGAACACTCTCTTACTTGTTCATGTATGTTTTCAGTGCAGAAACTGTGACTATCAACAAGAAGCCGACAACAGCTGCATCTATGTGAACAAAATCACCCATGAGGTTGAGTGAGTAGCTTACCATTTTATTTACTGAGAGACCATGCATTAGTTTGAGCTAATAGAGTCAGTGGAGCTGGGTCGATTTGATTCGGATTCACAAGCTCTTGATTTTATTCCAAATCAATTCGTTTGGAATTTGTATGTATCAGATACAGTACATTGCAGTATGACTTAAGGAAAACAATCTCTCAACTAATGCGCCACAGAGAACTCTGTCATTTGGAACATTACTATAATATTAAAGGTTAAAATTAACAAGAGTCTAAATTAGGGCTGCACGATTAATCGCATGCGATATTTAACGCGCATCTTGTCAGAAAGCCGGTTCTGTAATCAGCGGTAAATCTCAGTGAACAACGGCTCTGTGTAGTTAATGCTGCTCAATGTGAAAGCCCTCAGGTGATGGAGATTTACCGCTGATTACAGAACCGTCTTTACTGACAAGATGCGCGTTAAATATCGCATGCGATTAATCGTGCAGCCCTAGTCTAAATTCAATTGCTGTTTATTTTAGGTGTAATAATCAGCACTAAAATAGACAGTTTTTACATGAACTTTTTAATTGTATAATTATGATTCCCCCCCATATTCATATTCAATTATGAATATTTAAACAGGGCAGTCATAACTTTTTATAACAGATTTATTCAAACATACAGTAAATAAGACATCACTAACAGGTTAACTAAATCTATAATATGTATTATGGTGACTAGACATTTAAGAACTATTTCTAGTTGACTAGAACTAGATATGGACATTGAATGGCTTTTCTGAGGTAAATGTAGCATTAAGTAACATTGATTGCAAGCTGTTTATTGAGTCTTTCTGTTGTTAAGTGATTACATGAGGCGTGATGCATTTTTAGTAAGTTGTACTGTATCTTTTAATGTACCTTTTGATGTTCATTCATTTCTATTTCATACTATAGCAAGTAGTAAAGAGGACAAAGATAAACCTATCTGTCATGCAAGAACGTTGAAACAACATTGATTGTTTTAACTACGTGATGAAATTGATTGAATTTGTAACCTGACACTTTTTCATAACAAAAGTACAAAGCACGATGCTGATTGCTGTTATTAGTGCTACAAGTAATGTTTAGTGAAGTTTTGTTCATGCATCAACAGAAAACAGCACAGACTGAATCAAGTCTGTGAAGATGAATTAAAATCAGTTTGGCAACTCAGTCCTAATAATAAAAATAAAATAAAAAAAGAGCAATACCTACTAAACCTGGATTATTCTATAATGTTTATTGAAGATTTTCGTAGAAACCTCTAACCTTGACCCTCTTCTCTGCTAGTGAACTCACTCAGATTATTGCAGACGTGGCTCAAGATCCAACACTGCCTCGGACTGAGGACCACCCTTGCCCAAAGTGAGAGTTAAATATGTTTCTTGGTGTAGATGTATGTTAAAAATGATGTTATTGTAATTCCCATTAATTCTTATAATGGGCCATTTTATAATGAATGTGTTTTTTTTAGGTGTGGCCACAAGGAGGCGGTGTTCTTCCAGTCTCACAGCATGAAGGCTGAGGTAATGATTCGCACAATCACTGTTTGCTGTAGTTGTTCAACAGTTTCAGATCCGTGTCTCTTGATAACTGCAATAAAGAATTACTTTTAAAACAGTTTACACTCAGAACTTGCTAGTAAAGTTCACAAATAGTTACAAAGAAATGGCACGCTGAATTAAACCGACAATTTTGATGTAGACACACTGAAGTAGTATTTTCTTGTAAAATGTACTCCAGAAATCTTTATTTACAATTTCAAAAAATATATTTTTTACAATGTGTTTGTTGAACAGTGTTTGCTTAATTACAGCAAAATCATAAATGCTATCTAGGATCAAATTGAACTTTGACATGTTTTGATTTTCTGAATGCAGGATGCCATGAGGCTTTACTATGTATGTACTGCCCCACACTGTGGCCACAGATGGACAGAATGAGGAGGATAAAGCCACGAATGACATAAGATGAGGCGTTCTGGGGTCATGCATCACTCTAGTTCCATTCCAGAACATTATTTCTCAGTTTAGGGGACGTCTGTTGTGGAGTGAACGTGTCTTACTGGTGACCCAACTGTAGGTCACTGATGCATTTGTGAATAAACTGGTGTATAATTTTAGTTGTGAATTTAAGTGCCCAAACACCAGCGACTCGTCCTTTGACCCGAAGTGTTTATAGTTTTTCATTTTAATTCTACACAGTGTATTTTTTTTGAAGGTTTGTAATAAAATATTACAAAAAATAAGTAGAGTTTTCATTTTGAAAAGTTAGGCTATAGTTTTGAGTTTGGATTCTGGGTACAGTTTTTATTCAGTGGTGGCTTGGAGTAGGGCTGCACAGTTAATTGAAATAAAATAGTGCTGTCAAACAATTAATCGCATCCAAAATAAAAGTTTTTGTTTACGTAATATATATGTGTGTGTACTGTGTATATTTATTATGTATATATATATAAATACACATGCATGTATATATTTAAGAAAAACATGTTACGTTTATATATTAAATATATATATGATATAAATTATATGAATATAAATATATACTTGTAAATATTTTCAAAATATATGCTGTATGTGTGTGTATTTAAATATACACAATACACACATTATGTAAACAAAAACTTTTATTTTGGATGCAATTAATCGCGATTAATCGGTTGACAGCGCTAAAATAAAACCAAGATGTGACATAGCTTTGGCCACATACACAATGCAGCTAAATTTGGTTTTCAGTTCACCTTTTAGTGCTTAATCGCATTCTGTACACACATAATGTCACTAAAATACGGAGGTGACAACCGCAGTTGACAACCGAATTAACTCCCGAGAAATACAGGTAGTGACAACTGCATTTACAGAAATTCTAAGCAGTGTGTACGGAAGCTTTTTGTGATTATGAATTTGCAATTTAATTAAATACATAAGCTGCGTGTTTCAGAGTTAAGCGCAACACTGTTCTTTTACACACAAGCAGCTCATGATCTGTTGTTTTCAGTGTCTTGAAGCGGTTCAGTTCACATTAAATGCTGCTCCACACAAACACTGTATCTGCTGTTGAGTTTCGGTCGCTTTTAATGTGCATTTGGAAACACAACCAATGCGTCACACGCCAACCATCCTCACCAACTTCTATTGAGAAGATCTTATAAACTATTGTTAAAAAAAAAACAGAGAAGGCTCTCCGTTTTCCGCCAAAATAAAACCATAAATATTGGTATTGTAATTTTAAAGTTGTACTGCAAATTATTTTTCTAAATACTGTATTACAGTAGTTCAACTAATAAATCACAAGATGTTTGACTAAACCACAAAAAATCACAACCGGAGTTTTTATCGGGGGAAAAAAATTAAGTTAAATTTTTCTCAGTTGTTTGGAGAGCATAAAGTGAAAACCCGGAATGGAGCTGCGTAGAGTGACTTAAGGAACGTTTTAAAAACTCCGTTCCGCTCCACTCAAACAAGCTGTTCCTGACCAGCTTTCAGTCTGTTGTTTGACACGCAAAACTTGAGCCCAGAGTTTCCGAGTACCCCTGGAAAGTTTGTAAAGCGTAATTACAACGTCAGATCAAATGTTTCTCAAACGTAAGATACTTTGTATGAATTCCTTGTTACATAAAGCAATTTCACACTGTCAGTCATGCTGTAGTTCTGAAAATCAGCACGGCTGTGATTGCCACCGACTGCCTCAGGCTGAATCACAGTGCAAACTAATTTATCATCAACATGAGAATAATCACAAGGTTTGACTTTTTCCCATTGTACTTAGAGAAGTGGTTGTGTAATAGGACACAGCGTTAATGCAAGTGACTGCCACTTGTTACGTTATGCAACTCTGCCAAGCTGTCACTTCTGTTATTTTTGCAATGGTAAAATATCGCCTATTCATAGTGGCATTTCCATTATGATCTATAAAAAGCCCGTGCAGTAGAATTTCCTCATATCTGCCTGTAGGACTCGCGACCTGAATTTCTGCACGAGACAGGAAAGTACGCGGAAGCTCAACATGTTTGTCCCTCCCAGTCATATAGGGCTATTTAACTTGTCAGCTTGCAGGTCATGTCAACCACATTCGCCGGGTTTGAAAGAAACGCTGATCGCTGATATGGACGGACACGCACCTGGAGAACCCGTGGATATGAACGCAGGTAAAAGCAAGCGACCGTGCGCATAGCCTATATATGCCATTTGTAGCATGTTTATCTGAATGCACTGTTGTTTTGCAGTGGCTGTAGTGAGTCGTCGCGGATGGAACGCCGTGGAAGCTCGGGACAGGACGGAGATGAAGAATCCCGCACAGACGGTGATCGTTCACCACACGGCGCTCCGGTACTGTGCGCATCCGCCCGACAGCGTCTCTCAGCTCGCGCACATCCAGCACATGCACATGCAAGAGAGGGGCTTCGACGATATCGGTTACAAGTAAGACATTATAACAAAACACTACATGTAATATCTGACCGTTCTTTATATCACAGTGTTATTAAGTTATACAATGATACATTAAAAATAAAGATTCCAAAAGGGTGTTTTTGCAGTGATGCCATATTTTTGGTTCCCAAAAGAACCATTTTGAAGAACATTTAAAGAACCTTTTTTGACTATAAAGACAAAATTTTACAGTAAATTAAAGACTAGATCATCAAGACTGTGTCTAAAGGGTTTTCTTTTTTTCTTTTTCTTTTCAAATAATCACGTTTTTAGCTTTTTCCCCACCAAAAAAAAAAAAAAAAAGTTTTGTCCTGTTTGAATTTTGCGGACATAACAAGGCTGACTCCAGTCTATTCCTTACCAGTGTTGGGGAAAATTACTTTTAAAAGTAATGCATTACAATATTGCGTTACTCCCTAAAAATAAAGTAACTAATTACGTTACTACGTTACTTTCTATGGAAAGTAATGCGTTACATTACTTTTGCGTTACTTTCGCGTTACTTTTTAAATATAAGCAGGGCTTGATTGTTTTTAATATAAGAAGTTCTATTTATAGCAAATATAAAAGCCCTTTCACACCAAAAAGTGTAATGAATAAACCTCAGGCTGAAGCAAAAGTAAATTCACGTCTGTACAGTAGAACGCAGGAGAAGAAACACTCTTCAGCAAGCACAATTGTTAGTTTATCTAAAGTCATTTTTGCTTATTAGTACGGTTGAACTGGATCAGCAAAGGTCAGCAGCAATACATTGGTTAATAAAATGGGATTAGATACATTTGTGTTATTTAACATATTTAATTGCAGGTTTGTGTCATATTCTGAGTTTGCATTTCACTATTTTAATTCATTTTGATTAATACTAAATCTGTTTTTTGTGAGTGGGATGAATTAATGCACATTCACATTTAGTCTAGAACTACAGTAACATCATGTTCACACAGCACACACAATTCCTATGCACTTCCGATTTCTCCCAATATGGGGACAGGAGACTAAATGGGCAAACAAAGTAACTGGCATTACTTTTTTGAAAAAGTAACTCAGATATTTTCTTATAAATTAAAAAAGTAATGCGTTACTTTACTAGTTACTTGAAAAAAGTAATCTGATTACGTAACTCGCATTACTTGTAATGAGTTACTCCCAACACTGTTCCTTACACATCTGCTCTGTCTGTCTAACTCCAGCTTTCTGATCTCTGGAGACGGGATGGTGTATGAAGGGCGAGGATGGGGGGTTGTAGGGGCCCACGCAAAGGAACACAACTTCAATTCTGTTGGCATCGCATTCATGGGCAACTTCAACGGTGAGAACGTGACTATCTCTATATTATCACGTTCAATTTCATGTTTTAATTATTGTTCTTTGTGGTGTTCACACTATATATTACTGTATCTATTGTTCTGTTGTGATTTTTTGTGGATTTGTAAATGGAAATAGAGTTGTGCATAAGAATTCAATTGCACTTTAGCAATGACTTGTTTAAATGAAGCAAACTATACAATACAAATGAACCAAAATTCACACATTATAAAGCAAATTTCTGTTTGACTGTAGATGAATTGCCCAGTTCTGCATCGCTGTCTGCTCTGCTGAGACTGCTGCACATTGGAGTGCTTCACGGTCATGTGCAACCCAATTTTGTGCTTGTGGGACACAGAGACGTGGCAAAAACTGAGTGCCCGGGGAAAAATGTATATGCTTTACTACCAAAACTAAGAGACCAATTACAAAACCAGTGATCTCTTTTCTATGCATAAGTTGCATTAAATCCCTGCTGTGTGTGTAGCAATGTGTGAATGTGAAAATGTATGATAGGTTTATTTTTGCTCTAAAATGTTACATTTTACAGTCTTGTGTGCCTTGTTAAAATCCCTTGTCAAAATATCCTAAAGTAATACTACTAATGGGTCGATTTTTATCAAAATTTGGAACCAATTCAACATAATTAAGAGTCCAATCAAACAAGATCCTACTGGAGGGAAAGAATCTGAAAAATAGAAAATTCTTTTTATCCAGAGGATTCATCTTGTTTGATCCCTTTAAGATGAATAGAAATTATAATAGAAATCCCATTAGCAGTCTTTATTATTTTTGACGAGGGATATTTTACAGATGATTTCTTTGAAGACTAGACTTGAAATCTCCAAAATGCTTCAAATAGTTCAAATGGACTGTACAGTAATGTGCAATAAATTAGTACTCAGGTGTGGCCAATTAACCGAGGGTGTCAAATATCCTAGAAAATGAAAAGGTTTGCAAATACACCTTTCTATTTTTTGAAGCCTTTTTGTCCCAGTGACATATTGTGCATCAGTGCCTTTCTATGAATGATCATCTTTGTGTCTGTGATTTTATCATTAAACTCATATTTATTATTACTGTTTCCCCACTTGTATTTCCTCTATCACCTAATGTATACTTGTTGCGTTGAAATATCAGATATATATATCTATATATATCATATATAGTCTGTTTAGTCATTGATGCAAGCACTGAAACCAAACATAACGGATTCTGAATTAGAGAACAAAACATTGGTCTTGTTTAATTTGATATAACATCTGCTTTTCATGTATTTTAACATAAAGCTACATTTATATTCTATAGGCTAGTAGGCATAATTTTGTGCGCAAAATGTGTTACAACACACTCTGTGATAGACTGTAACCACAGTACTCTTTGTACTTGACGTTAATTTAGCTACAGTTTAAGAAGTAGACTTCAAAACAACGTTGAAGCAGACGAACAAATTAGGCCTATATCAAAGTCTGAAGCAAGAGGAGTTACGGACGTTAAAA